ACATCCCCAGCCTTTCTCTATTTTTTGAAGCAGACACTCAACTAAATACTGAATTTCCCAGTCTGGGCTTGAATTTGCAGTCCTCCTGCCTCAGCCTCCTAGAGTTCTCGGATTACAGGCATGGGCCACCATGACCAGTTTCTAAGTGATATTTGATTGCTTCTCAAAATCTTAATTGATTCTCGATCCTCAAAAAATAAATTTGCCAGGACTTGTGGGGTTCTTTTTTGCATCGTATTTGTTTTGTGAGGCCCTTTGCAGAAGAGCTGTCCCCCACGTGTCCTGGGGAAGGCAGAACACCACAGACAGTACACAGCTCCTGCAAAGGTTACCCCACAGTGGTGCTCTGAGAACCCGGCACCTGGGGTGGCCAGCTGGGGATCAGAGGCGGGCAACTGGCCATGAGTATGTAGAGGCAGGCAGACGCTGGTTCAAAGGCCTGCTCTGCACTGCACCAGTGAAGGGGCCCTAAGGACACATATGCTGTCACCGTGAGCCTCAGTCTCTCCCCTGTGAGCTGGGGGAGGTGCTGCTGTGAGAGCTGCTCTAGATGTGGGTGAAGGCCAAGCCTGGAGCGTGAAAGAGGATGCACCCTCCAGGCCCGGTGGGTAGGGTCACCTTGGAAAATCATAATTCACCCTCTCGATGACCGGATGACTTCCAAAACCGAAAAGCATCAGGCAATATAGTTCTTGTGTGTCACAAAACACACATGTTTCAGAATAAATTCTTGACTGAAAATACGTGTATGACCAATTTCAAAATATAAAATCCCTTGGCATTGTTTGCCATTCATTGCTAAAGCCATGAGCCGCAAAGGCGTCTGCTGAAAGGGTGGTATGGGAAAGCCCTGGAGGGCGGGTCTATTATGCATTCACCTGATCCAGCACAGGGGACGCCCTGGAGATGCCCACGGTGACAGGTGCAGCTTCCCGCTGGCACCAGGGAAACAGTGGCAGTCAGAACAAGCATCCCCTCCCGGCACCAATGCACATGGAAGGCGGTAGACACCCTGGGCAGAGGGAATCTGAGAGAGTGACCCTGAGGGGTCCCACGGTCTCAAGTGTCCATGCTGAGAGGCGTTGATTAGAATAAAGCAAGTCACTCTCTGCTTTTCCCTTAAGTGGAATTTGACAACCTAGTTCCCTGGGAGTCTGTGGTTTGACTTCTGTTCTTTTTCTTATTCTTATTTTTATTGTATCTTCTTCTTATTTTCCTGCTTAATTCTCGCCCACCATCTGTGATGATGGGAGACTGGCAGAGTCCTCCTCCTCGTTGTGCTCCTCTTTGTCCCCTGGCCCCAGGACTCCCACATCTCCCATGTCGTGCAGGACACTTGCCTCTGTGTACCTCCCTGAGGGCCCTTTGCAGAGTCGCCACGCGGGCTCAGAGTCCAGTCCTGCTGACAGGCAGTGTGGACCAGCATGGCCTCCACCTCTCTCCCTGTCTCGTAGGTTTCCGTGCTGTGCCTGCGACCTGCAGATGGTAATAGTACCCGGCTTTGTGCTCAGGTTGAGCAAATCACGAACGTAAAGCTCTTAAAATAGCACCCGGATGTAGCAAGCTTAGCTGTTTGCCCTTATTTTTTTTCAAGCATTTTGTAATCATGAGTTTCAATGTTCACATCTTTCATAATTCAAAAAGTGCTTATTAAATTCCCATCTTAAAAAGCTATTTCAAGTGGAAATGATGGTGCAGGTCTATAATCCCAGCACTCAAGAGGCCGAGACAGGAGGAGTGGCACAAATTTGAGGCCAGCCTGTCTCAAAAAACCAAATAAATATTCAAGTTAGAAAATATTTTTTAAAAGCTAATGTCACTACGAGAGCAAGGTATAGGGACACAGGATTGTCATACGCACAGAGGGGAGTGGGCATCGTACACGACGTCACAACTGCACTTTTTTAAAAAGCGTGATTGGGGCACCCGTGAGAAATCATTTTCAGACAAAATAGCTTAAACCCAATGAAACCATCAGCGAGAAGAGGCTGCGATGTGCAGAGAACAAGAGCAAAGATACCAGGAAGCAATGCCTCGGGCTCAATCCCGACCTGCCACTGCCTGGCTGTGTGGCTCTAGAGAAGTTCCTTGACCTTTCTGTGCTTCTGTGTCCTCATATAAAAAGTGAAACTAATCACACTACCTACCCTGAAAGGCTGTGATGAGGAAGAAATGGTTAACCCTTGTAAACCATATAAAATTGTACTTGGCAAACCGTAAGCACCCTGGAAGTGTTTACTTCAAATCTCTGTCTTTAAAGAAAGCAGCACAGAGGCAGCTGGTAAAACCTCCCCCACTAACCAGTCCCAAGCTCAATGAGGCACTGGTCTCCTGTGCTTCTTGCATAAGCAAATTTTTTGAAAAGCCTTTTTTAAGGACTGAGACTTAGCAGACGAGGGCATTTTTTAAAAATTCTTTAATACTTTTGTACTTGCTAAAATCCTGGATTCTGAAAGAAATGTTTGGCCTGACCTTCTGTGCCAGGCAGGCTCTTCTGGCTGGGCTGGGGGGCTACGGTGGATGTGGGAGATTCGGTAGAAACCAGATGCAGACACTGATGTGGACTCTGAAACGCAGTGCTGAAACTGAGTGGCCGATTCCATAAACCGAGCACCAGTGCCAGCTGTACTGTCTGGACGTGGACCAGCCAAGGCGTGGCCGTCTGCAGCGGGAGGTGACCCCTGTGCAGAACAGGACTGGAAGCCCATGGCTCCACCCGCCTGGGACCCACATGTCCCTTCCCCTGGCTGCTGTGGCTTCCTTGGGTGACAACCCGCCCACCCCAGACAAGGAGTCTCTCCAGAAAGCTGCCAGCATTCAAATGCTTATTTGCAAGTATATTTGGGACTGATAAATGGAACGGACTGCCATTTGGACTAATGTCCATTTTCTCTCACTAATTTGAACAAGGATTTTTAAAGACAAAGCCCATCAAACATTAGATAAGCATTTAAGTTAATGGACCGTGTCGTCCTATTTGCCCACAAACTCAGGGACTGTCGTCTGATGTCCTATTTTCACGGCAACATCAATTATTAATATGTATATTTTTGCTGACAGAGGACCTCGCTACAAATGTAGGTTTCGTTATCCTGTTCTGGGTCATTAGCAGTGGAAAGCTTGTAAATATAATGGTTTATTCACACGGGAAGCCTTCATTAAGATGCATTACTCTACAGCTGATGTACTTCAGTATATAGTACATTTCTGTGTTCACGAGCTGCCCTTAATATTAGCAATTTATTTTTAAATGAGTTGCTGTGTGTGTAGTGAGTTAACAAATTCGAATTCCATGTGACCAGCGTTGCTAAAGAGGAAAAGATGTATTAGCCTGAAGGAAATGCTGCTCATTAAAACAGGATTTAAATATGTTATAACCTTTAAATTCAAAAACAGTTGGAGGAGGAAGCTTCAAATGACCCAGATGGGATTTTGCTGGAGAAAGTCTCCATCAAGAAACATGGCTTTGAGTGCCGACATATTCATGGCACAGCATGGGGACACAGTAGTCAAGGGACCCATGGAACTGGAAACTTGCTAGCCACAGAATGACTCGGATTCTGAGCCTCCCTTCACGCATCTGCTTGGTGGGATCCTCATGCAATGAGGGCATTGCTAACGGGTGTATAATGGTCCGCTCAAGAGTAAAATATAGGAAGTGCAGGAGATCTATCCGTAGAGAGGCCACAAGACTCCCTTTTGTCCCGAACACATCAAGTTGACAATGTTATGGGGAAAAGTGCAGGCCTTGAAACACCGCCCCTACCCCAAGGTAAAAACCTGAGGTCCTGTAAGGTAAAGAAGCAAACAAGTTACATAATTTGAGCATGCGCAATTTGAGTTTCTTTGTTCTTTATCTCAGTAAAAGCTGCTTGCTTAGGCTGGCAGGGCAGCAGCCATTGTGCTAACCCTTAGTGTGTGTGACCCTTTATTTTCCCTTTGCTTGTAGAACCCCAACATCTATCCACACACCAAGACCCCCAGAATCCAGCTGAGGGCCTGGATCCCATGGCAGTGCCCCCTATGAGTCCAGCTGGAGGCCTCGAGCCCATGACAAGGTCTCATGCAAGTCTGTATCAAGGATAGGAAGGCCCAAAGGTCAGGTATGGAAGCTAGAAAGTCTGTACCAGAAGGAGCTGTGCCAGCAGCTGAGGGATCTTCACTGGAGCCAGGAAGTGATGCTCAAGATAAGGACCAGAGCTCCCCCAAAAAGTACCATAGCCATCCTCAGTGACAGTGAGGACCTGAGCTCCTCTGATGATAACAGCCAAGTTCTTATCAGGAAAGAAGTTCGACAGTCTCTCCCAGGAGAACTAATGGCAACAGGAGAACCAACAGCACCATGGAGAACCAACAACACTATAAACAACACTACTACTTCCTCTTCCGTTCTCCTCTTATATTGATAACAGTCCTCAGGTGGGCCGTCCACACTCAGGACCACGATGACTGAGCCCAGGTGGTGGTACAAGTCGACTACTAGTTATCAGTCCACCACAGGATGTGAATGCCAGCTGGAAGATACAGGATAGGGATATGTGGGACAGGACATTGCCCCCACGGAGTGGGCAGGAAACCCCACAGAGAGCTGAATGTCTTCTACCTCACGTACAGCTCAGCGAAGTGTTAGAAAGTTTGCCGAACACCTCTTACAGAGCTATAGACAGGGCACAGGTCAGTCCATCACCTGCTCTTCTTAAACATGAGGGATGAAAGGAGAAAGAGCCAGCTCCAATCCAGCTGTCTGCATCTGTGAAGGAAATTCACAAATGACACCAGCACTGATGTCACTGGGGAGGACAGGGCCTTTGTGGAATGCGTGGAGAATCTGAATGCAGAAGCTGAAAAGTTTAGGCCATTTAGGGGCACAGATCTATCTTAGCATCTTCATAAAAGCTGATGAGTTTAAAATGGGCATTGGGAAAGTTGATCAATGTCTGAATTATCAATTTCTGTTTCATACCTTTAAAATTTAAAACCATTACTGGAAGATACAAAGATTGGATTTTATTGTAAGTGATTAAGTAAAAGAAATTTCTTTGCTTGGTTTTTGACATAAAACATACAGTATAAGAAAAAGTTGGGCTTGGTGACACATGCCTGCAATCTCATCCCTCGGGAAGCTGAGGCAGGAGGATTACCTTGAGTCTGAGGTCAGCCTGGGCTACACAGTGGGTTCAAGGCCCACCTGGACTATAGAGCAGGACCCTGAAAAAACAAAACAAACAAATAAAAAAGATCATGTCTTGAGCACCTGGATAGTGAAGTTATTTAGACCATTTTGTCCTAACCTTACCCTTTAAAGTGATTTTATAACCCTCATTCTGTACTCACTCTTCAAGTATATCAGGCTTTTCCCTCCTCTCGTTAAACTGAACTGAGAAGATCATCTCATTTCCTAAATTTGTCTAACGTGAAGTTTGTAAAGTATTCTACACGATTTTCTTTTCTCGTTTGGCTTGGCTTTGGCCTAGGGTGTGCATTCTCCTGCATCCGCATGGTCTCTCTTCCTCCTCCTCCTCCTCCTATGGAGACCACGAGGAGCGCTGTGGAGTTGGGGTGCACAGGTCTGTGGGTATACAACGTGAACTGAATCCTTCCTCATTTTCTTTCAGAGAAGTTGATTTAAATTCGTAGTGCCGCTCATGTCTTTTGTTAAGTCCTGAATGTTGTCACTTTCTTGTTCCGAGGCTTCTGAAATGCACTTTGATTTTGTTCTCATATCCCCAAAACCTCTTTGCACCACAGTTCCTGGCCTTCCTGGGTGTCACCCGCTAGACTGCAGGCACAGCCTGGTATGATAACAACCATCATGGTAGCCACCGTGGCAGGTGCTCGGGGTCGCCGTCTGGCAGGGAGAGCCATCCTGAGCCTTTGTGGCATGATCCCAGGTGCTGTCAACCAAGACTCACCTTCCTTTCCAGCTCCCTTTCCTCCCTCCATCCGTCCCCTCCACACTATGATTAATTACATTGATTTGTATTATTACCCACCAATTTCATTTCTCCGGAGATTTGGAGATAGGATTTATGTTGAAGAGTGGTTTTGTTTTTTCTTGTACCACACTGAGCTGTGGGTCAAAATTTGGTGGCTACTTTGTGATTGTTTCGAGGGAAATCATCTATCAGTGATCAGATGCAATTTCAGAGCAGATATCTGCACCCAGCTGTAGTTTTCCTCTTGCAGCTGTGTAGCAGCAGACAGATGTTTTCAGATTTGATTTTGGTGTTTTCTCAGAATCAGAGCACCCCAACTCCCTTCACCAGGTTTTGCTCCAAATATTTCCTTCCTGTGTAGTCTCTGTCCTCCCACTGACCTGGAAGATTTAGAAAAGTTTTACTATCAGTGGTGCGAAAGAACTTTTCAAGGCTTGTAGAATGTTACTTAGCTTTCTGGCACTATAATGAAACACCTAAGATAACTGACTTTAAAAATAAAAGGTTTACTCTTCATGAAAAAGCTAAGTTTTGGAGCTCCCGTCCATGACTGACTGTCCACCGTTACCCTTGGCGAGGCAGTGTGATGGCAGCAGCCTGTGGTGCAGCACAAACACTCACCTCGTGGCCAGGAAGCAAAAAACGCTGAAAAGGGAGCTCAGATCCCAAAAGCCCCTCCTAGGCCACATCCACAATGATCTAAAGCGCTCCTGCTAGGCCCCACCGCCTGAAGGTTCAGCCACCTCTGAAGGGCACCACATTGGGGATCAGCCCTTTACCTGGAGGCCTCTTGAGGCATTCAATGTCCAAACTATAGCCCTGAATATGAGTTGCTCAGGCTAAGCACCCCCAAGCCTGGGAAATCTTCCCTTGCCGTGGTGGTGAATCTGTGCTTCAAACGCTCCTGCCAGATCTGATCTTGTATTCTGCTCACTACAGGAGAAGATATGGTCACACTCAGGTAACTTTCACAGCTCCATGACTTCTCCTATTTTATACTTCCCATTGCTGTTTTCAGAACCCTCCTCCCCGCTTTGAAGAAGTGAGCCCCACAATTACGCAGGCCCAGAAGGTGGACCGACTTCGGAACGAGATGCAGGTGAAGCACGAGGAGCGCTACAGGGAAGCCCTGGTGACCATCAAGAACGACCTGCAGCTGATCGAAGGCCCAGACATCAAGGAGAACCTCCAGGACCAGATCCGGCACTGGTTCATAGAGTGCAGGTGACCGCAAGCTGCGTGGTGGGTGGAGGGGCCCTCGGCATCCCCTCTTCACTGGCCAAGCTTGTCCTGGGTGTTTAAGCACTGCAGTGCCCCCATGTAGAACCATGAGGTTTCTTCGCTTCCTTTTAGAAAGGGAAACACCAGACTTTTGGGAGCTGCCTTGAGAGGGGTTCCTCATTGTCCACGCCTTAGGTGCCTCACCGGGTAGAGCAGCTTCTGTGCCTATCTTACTTCAGGAGTGAAGGGCAGAGGACAGCTTGTCCTGATGAGCAGGAGAAAGACACTGGGCCAACTCTTGAGTGGGCCGTGTGTGTCACTTCAGGCCCCAAGCTAACCCATGCTGGCCGACTCACAGGCGCGGGGAGTTTAAGGTTGGCCATAGGAAATTCAAACTTGTTCTTAAAAATTGAACAGCTGGGGGCTGGGGATTTAGCTCAGTGGCATAAAGCTCCTGCCTTGCAAGCAGCAGTCATGAGTTCAATCCCTGGTGCCGATAAAAAGGAAAAAGACAAAAAAAAATTTAAAAATTGAACAGCTGTATCTGAGGTGGGCGGGCTCTGAGCCGAGCCCTCAGGGATGGCCCACGCCTGCTCACTGGCCTCCGAGGAGAGAATCCACCAGCAGTGATGACCCCTCGTCTCCTTCCGGCTCTAAGCCCTGTCCACACCACTGGTTCTCCCTGCTGGTCACTGCTGGTGGTCGTGAAAGATGCTCCCCTCCCCAGAGAGGCTGTGACGTGAGTTGTGTTTGTTGCTTCCAGCTGCAAACCTTTGGGGCAGCGTGTGGTCCCATCCATTCCCACTGCTGTAACTCATGACCATGGCCCAGAGCTTTGCAAACAGCCCATGCTGTTTGGCTCTTGAAACTGGAGATCCCAGGCTCCCGGGTTCCGTTTGATGCTGGGCTTTCTGCTGGGGTCTCAGCCTTCACCAGCTCTTTGCCTGAGAAGTTTGGAGGGGAGTGGCCAGGGCCCCTTGGGGCCCACTCACTCCTAGGTCTCACACTTTCCCGCCACCCTCTCACCACTGTGTTGAGTTCAGAGGAACCACAATCCTCCACAATCTTCCCTGGTTCTTTAGACTCCTTCCTGGGCTCCCGGGAGACCCTGCACTCTCTCCCTCCAAGCAGTTTTGCAGAATGGGTACAAGCCCAAACAGCAAAAACACTGTGAAACCAAGGGCAAGAATCATCCTATCTGCGGGGGTTGCTCACAGGCAGTGTGGCCCGGGATTGGTGCTGGCCGCTGTCTATCCTTTGACACTGTCACCTCTGCCTGCCTGTGATGCCACAGCCCGGCCAGCTCCCTGCCTGGCGCCGAGCAGTGGATTCCTCGCCAATCCAGTGAACGGTGCAAGCAGGGGCATGATTCCCCATCCTTCACCAATTCCGTAATTGTGTCTGGAGAAAATATTCCTGGGATGGTTTTGTGCAACTACAATCACAGAAATCTAAGTGGAAAGACGTCAGTTTGGGAGAATTGAGCCTTCCCATCATATCCTGTTAACTTATGAAGCACAAACCTTATTTCCATAGCTAATGGGGATCATATGCACTGTGGTCATGAATCTCTGCTATCAGGAAACCTCTCCCTCTTTGCTCATGTGTCAGAGAGGAGATATTCGAAAATGTGGTTTTTATAAATGAAACGATTCTTTATTCTTACATGGACATTTTAAAATCCAATATATTAAGTGACAAAACAAAGCTAGAAACACCAGCTTCAATTATAACCCCCCAAGAAGTTAAAATGTACATGTACATCAGTCCTCCTTATCCAGCGGTTTATGTTTGAAGCCCCCCAGTATTTGCCTAAAACCACAGATAGCATTGTAGCCTTGAGTCTACAGACTTATAGAACGAAATATAATATATAAGGCAGAAGCAGAAAGAGATTAACAATAAGAAGATAGCATAACACTGCACTTTGATAAGATTACCAGCATCACTATTCTTGAGCTTTGGGAACACTGTAGATAAAGTAAAGGGTACTGAGCACAAGTACTTCTATGTGAGAAAGTCAGCCTGATAACACAGATAGCTACTACACAAGGAACGGGCAGGTAGTGGGTACGGTGTGGGTAAATGGGCACAAGGATGACCCACATCCCAGGGAGATGGAACACAGCACAGAATTCTGTCCCCTCTCCCCAGCAGCACACAGTAAAACTGATAAATCGCTCACCTCTAGAATTCCACACTTAATGTTTTCAGGCTGCAGTGGGCAACTAGTTAAGTAAAACTAAAACCACAGAAAAGAGAACCACTCATGAGGGCAGGGCCTTGGGAGGCCCAGGCACGTTTAACTTATTAACCACACATGTGCACAACGCCAGACCTTCCTAAGGAATGCACCAGGACCAGGGGCCCTGCCACCCCCAGGACAGGAGATGTGGGGTCACAGTGTCCTTTACATTCTTCAGTACGATGGAGTCTTTTGTTTCAATAAGTTTTATTTTGATAAGGAAAACCTCAATTAAAAACCTATTCAAGGAACAAGCAAAAAAGGTAATTACTTTGGGTCTGATTTAAGTTTTTCCAATACCTCTGTCTCAGGGGAGTAGTTGAATGTGACCCCTTTGTCACACTCTGGGACTGGACGTGGCAGGCGGGGGCTGAGTGGGAGTGGGCTGAGCCCCACGCGAGGTGCTTAGGGGCCACAGGAGGCCAGCGTCATTCCGCTTTCACCCCTGGGTGGCCCCATTGTCCCGGGGTTCGTGGGTTTCCTGTAAAGACGCAGCTGGCTGGTCCCCAAAGGACACAGCACCCTGGGCTTCCCAACCCCTTATCTGGAGACTGGGCAGAGACATCCTCATGGCTACATGGTACGTGCTGATTTCACAAACGTATAAAAATATTCTTTTTTTAAATCATTTATGAGGTCAAAGGTGAATTTATTTTCATAATTGGATTATATTCATCTGATTGCCTTTGATTTAAAAAAAAGAAAAAGTTTTCTCCTTGCTTTTTACTATCAAAACCAAGTAAAAAGCAAATATTGTCTTTTGGAACATGAAACATGATCAGTCCTCAGAATAAATTCTGATCAGACACACAAAGACAGCACAGCAAATGATGAGAAATCACAAGTAATATGCATGTCCCAACATGGAATACTCAGCTTGTTCTGAAGGACGTAGCATTCCCAGGAAAGGGCTAAGCCAGATTTCAAATTATTTTAGGTGCAGTATGTTGTAGTCAGGAGTTGTGAGGAAAACAATTGGAATCAGGACACAGAATTTATAGTATTATTTTATGCTGATCACCTAGAGTTAAACACAGGAAGTACAGGAAATCTGCCCACAATGCTAAACACCCATATATTCAGCCAAGGGCCTGGATCCCACAGCAGTGAGTGTCCTGCATGAGTCCAGATGAAGACCCAGAGCCCATGACAATGCCTCCCATGAGTCCAACTGGAGGTCTAGAGCCCACGAAGACTTACGCCAGTCCGTTTTACTGATCTGCGCTGGAAGCTAGAAAGACTGCATCAGCGGGGTGAAGGAGCTGTGCTGGTGGGTTGAGGGTTCTACACTGAAGCCGAGAAGTCATGCTCAAAATCAAGACCAGGCCTGTCCTGAAAAGCACCACAGCCATCCTCAACGACACGGAGGTTCCAAGCTCCTCCAATGATAGACACAGTCAAGTACGTGCCAGGAAGCCAGTGTGATGAGTTTGTCCCGGAGATTAGACGGCACACATCTTCCCCTCAGGAGCCCAGAAGCGATGCTTGATGTAAGGAGCAGAGCTCCCCCAAAGTGAACAGCAGCCACTCTCACCAACAAGGTCCCGAGCTCCTCCGATGACAGTGGTAGAACTCACATTGGGGAAGCTAGTCACGATGAGCTCCTCCAAGAGAACCAAAGGCTCAAACAGCAACACTTAGAGAAACCCACAAAGCCTCATTCATCCTTTCCTCAGGTGGAACATCTGTGCTCTGCACCATGGTGATTAATTCAGCTGGCGCTAAGTTGACCACCAGTTTTTAATCCATAACACAGTATTTTTCCCATCTTAATGGCAATGTATACCCTGTGTGGAAAATTTACAAGGCAAAGTGTAAGGGACAAAATTTAAATTGCCTGCACTTTCATCATATACAAATAGCTACTGAGAAAGGTTTCTATGAATTTCCTTCTAGACCTTTACACACTCTCATCTGCAGTTTTACGATCCTCTAACTTTTAAAACTGTAATGTAACTTTCCTGTGGTCTGAAAATTTTTTCCAAAAGATGCTTTTAGTGATTATTTAGCATTCAACTGCATGGATGCACTAGGTAATTAATTGATTGTAATCTTTTTAATATTTTGTCAGGTTGATAAAAGAAAAATGCTATCTCATGTATCTTTTAATTTGCAGTAATTTTATTAATGAGGTGAAGAGTCACTTTGCATTTTTTGTTTGAAATAGAACGTCTGTGAGCTACTGTGCCATTTGTTTATTTAGTGGCATTTTGTGACTTTTTCTGTAAGTGCTCTCCTGTATATAGCAGACATATGCTACATAATATATAATATATATAACACATAGCATATACATATATATATACTACAGATCCTAGAGCTTCTTGACATCTTACTGCGATAAGCACATCCCAGGCTATCATTTTATTAACTGGCCTAACAGATAAGAGAGAAAGGGAGAGCGAGGCAGCGAGGGAAACCGTGTAGCCCCAGGAGCCACTGCCCTGCTTCTGCTGCTCCTCCACTCCTGCTCCTCCTCCACCCCTGCTCCCCCTCCACCCCTGGGAACCCTGCTTGGTGTCACCCTGGATGTCACCTCTCTGTCATCCCTAAGAGGCAGGCAGAATAGCACAGTCCCTGCCCGTGGTGCTCGCAGGCAGACACGGTGCCTGCACCTGCGAGGTTCTTGTTGGGTTTGTGAATTCTACAGCTCCCTTCCTGATGTGAGTGACATTTTCTCCAGGGAGTATTTTCTAGCACAAGGAGTTATACACTGTCACATCATGTGTGCTGTTCCCAGTGAGCTCTCCAGTTGGTT